AGGGACAAACAGTTACACATATAGAAAATTGCATCAAAACATGCAAAATAGTGTCTAGTGTCTTGTGACAAGCACCCATTTCGATCTCCTTCTAGATGGCGTAAGTAACATTCATTCAGAAGGTGGCGCTCCGCCACCTTGTTGCATGGATTGATAAATAAAACGTTTGAATTTCAGACACGTTACCACCTGCAGTTTGTAAAAACTTATTTACCTAAATCTAAAAAAATGTCTGAAACGAACGACTTCATCCCCAACATGGAGCATCTAGGAGGCCAGTGAGACCTGCTGAAGAAATCTGTTGATTCATTTCAATCCAGCTAATTTAATGAATGATTAAAAATACATTTAAATTATTTTCAATATAACTTTTAAATAAAACTGATTCACAATTTATTTCCTTAAAAACCAATAATAAAACGACGCCCCAACAGTGGCGGATTTGCCATAAGGCCCAGTAGGCCCGGGCCTGGGGCGGCCAGATTTTAAGGGCGGCCAATCGTGACAAAAAACTCACTGATAATAACAAAAAAATACTCAAAGTACCTAAATATTCTAAAGGCTCACGCACATTATGGCGGACCGCATTTCACCGCATCGTATAACAATAATCTTCCTAAATCACTTCCGTACATTTCATGTATAAAATATAGGTATATTATTATTCCGAAATATATTTTTCCGAAATAACGTTTGGTCGAATTTTCATTACACCGAAAACCAAATCATAACGAAACCGTTGTTCTTTCAGGACATGTTGGATGTTTATCGCAAAGACACGATTAGGTTCGGTTAGGTTAGGTTTGAAAGAAAAAACATTTTTGAAATTCGGGCAATCGTTATTTCTGGAAAATGTCATTTCGAACATTACATTACAGATAAGTAACCGTTACATATCTGTAATGTAATGTATGATTACTACATCACTACGTTTGTCCTTCTGTCTGAACGCGATAAACTTAAAAACTACTAAACGGATGCTGGTACTGACTACATGGCCTGGGGCCTAGGGTGGCCAAGACTGCAAATCCGCCACTGCACCCCATTTATTTACCGGTTTGGTGCAACACCGGCTAGGAAAAAAAATATTTTCAAATGTTTCTAATTGTTTTATAATAATAAAACCTGAATGTTATAGCTAAATCATAGGAAAAATAAATAATAAAGTATATAAGAGTCATATTATAAATATGAAAAAGATCTTAAAATTTTATTTTCCATTTTCTCAAATCTCACTTTTACGTGATACGGCCTTGTTACACCCAATATAAAATATACCATCAAATTTTTTTTTCTTATCCGTAACTTAGTAATATATGTATTTATTATTTATGTAAAACCTTTATAATCTACATATACATACATAATATAATAATAATATTTATAGTACATATTTATGATCTTCATTTTTCTTTTTCTTATAAGTAATCCGTGCGTAATAGTGGCACATTATATGTTGATTTCGAACCGTCTGTATGCGCACGTATAGCGCTGAGATTAATTTTGGTTTAAAAAAATACTTCAATTGTAATTTTAAGTTTATAGAATGTCGGGATGTTTCACCGCCATCATATATAAATAGAAGAAATAGATTTCTAACAGATGGCGCTACGGTAAAAAAGTCGTTAAAAACCAAAAACAATGTTCTGCAATCACCACATGGAAAAATTCGTAAGTCCGTTGGTTTGTTCCGTGGTTTAGTTGGCTTAGCATCTGGTACGGTTTGCTAGAAGACGTCGGTTGGAATCCAGTCCGATCGAAGGATTTTTTTCTAAGTGTTTGATCTTTATATTCATCATCATCATCATCATGATGAATAAATTTGGCAGACTTGGGGTTATTAGGCCACGCAGCGTACGATGTGAGACGGGCAATCGATTAAATCGCATCATTTTAGCAGAATACCAAACGTACAAAATCATGACATTGACGCTATTGACACGCAACTGAGATAGATGATTTAAAATTAGCAGACTAAAAACTTCCAGATCGGCAGTGGCAAGTCATGACCAGGAGGAAAACTTTCAGAAGGAGGTACAAAGACAGACTTACGCCAATATTACATCGCGTATGCATGAAAATACTATAGGAAGGTAAACGTTGTATGAATTAAAATTGACTAATTATATGTATAGATAGACTAATTATATTATCACGGACCAATAACTCTAGAGGTAACTCGGCAGCTACTTTGCCCAACGTATTAGCACAGCTATACAAAGGGCGAACGCTGCCGGCATCTTGGGCACTTTGCCGCGGGGACCCAATTTTATTCATCTAGTTTTAAATTATAATATTTAAGCTTTCAAAGCTTTTTTAAAGCTTCTTTGTTAATATGTATAATAAATAAATATAGTGTGTTAAAATTATGATGTTTTTTTATAGGCAGCTTTGTGACGACTTATTCCCTCTCCTCTTCTTCTTTAGCAATCTTAATACAGTTATTTGCTCAAAAACTGCACATAGACTGTTTCAATCCCCAGCATCTTTCTTTATATATGTGAATGGTAATCCGATGACCGCACGGGCGCGTAATCCTTATTTCCGTCGCTAACAGGATAATATGATTTTAATTAAACGGAACCGTAGCATATTCGCTGTATGTAGCTTCGACACTCCCTTTGTGCAAGGGGTGAGTGGCAGGAGTGTCATTACACTAGGGTGGCCAATAGCATTGCGTATTTTTGGAATGTGTATTTTAATTTAACTTCCAAGCTCTTTAATGCCACTGGCAGTGCAAATGTACCTTTTTTGAATTTTGCTATTATTAAAAAAAAACATTTTTATTAAAAAGACTTCGAAAGTTTGTGGAATTCCATGTATTTGCCAAGTTTTATTGAAATCGCTTAACGGAAAGAGGGCGAAATTCAATAAACAGGGTTCATCTCCAAGTTTGCCATCCTTGGAGTTGAAATATTTTCTTCATATTTGAAAAATCATCGGTTAAGAAAGCTTTGACCACCCCTCACTCTGTTTAAAAAAATACAAGAAAAATTTATGAAAATAATGTATTTTATCCTATTTTCCAAATCAACGACTATTGCGTTACTTGCATATTGTTTTACTTATAAATCACTTCGAAAAATCTCAATATTGCGGGTACTATTCAGCCTAATAAAGAAGATAATAACTATTTGTGCTTAAAAATATACGTATATACCAAAATGCCCCAGATTAACATAAACTCATTTTAAATCAATCGCGATGGTCACCCTACTCTGCTTCGAGTTAAATGATTATTTGCGACCACGACGCAAGTGTTCAACTGTATCTAGTTAAAATGTTACACTTATTACGCACGCCTATTAAAGTAGATCAATAAAACTATCGGCTGGATATGATTGCTAACTTACATTACTGTAAGTCAGCGTTACGACCTAACTTGTTCTTATATATTGTAGGTATTACAAGCATAACCAGGTCTTCTGACGATCTCAAAGGAGTCACTTGGAACTAAATATGGAAGTAAATTAATTTGCTACTACGCGAACCCAATAGAGGTTAAATCGTGCAAAATAGCTGCGCTTGTGTTGAATATTTTTTCATTCAGTTAATTATCCCACCCTTTCTCCGCATAAAATTAATAAAATAAATAACACAAGCGCAACAACAGTCACAAACACCATCACCAAAAAATATACCCGACACGTGTTTCGCCTCTCCACGAGGCATCCTCAGGGGCTGTTGAACGCTCGACGCTACAGATTGAACCTCCATTGGGTTCGCGAAGTAGCAAATTAATTTACTTCTATTTTTATTAACATGGACTTCCGCAAAGTAGCGCCTGAATCTATTAATTACTTATATACTTGGAGCTGCTGAATGAAGAAGGCACCAGATCGAACCATGGATGACAATCTAAATCAAACATAAGCAAATTACTGCTCATTTGTAAATAGAGGCGGGCGTTTAAACGAAATTAAAGCACTTAAAAAAGTTTGCTTTCTAAAATAACCACATAAGCACGCTTTTTAATTTAAGTGAATAATAATTTTATCAATAAAATAAAACTCGTGTTTTACAAATAAACTTACTTATGTTAAAACCTGTAATGGTCTAATTTGCTTTTCACTATCAGCACAACCTTGCAAGCTTTTTTGACTTATCAAGTCTATGCGCTTAAATGTTTTTTTAAACGATTTTGTAAGCTTCAAACTAAAAAGCGTTTAGAAAAGCACGCTTTTTTAAAAAGCACGCTTTAACGTTTAAAAAACTAAGCAGTTTTTCCCATCTCTATTTGGACGTAGTTAAGCAAAAAGGATCCAATCTGAAGATCCAAAATAAGTTATATGTACCAAACGGTTCCTAAAATTTAGCCTCTTATATCAGCAAAAAAATCCAACATTATAAACATAAATCTCTAGAGTTACATGACATTATAAATTTTGAAAATAAAACAAGAGTGAGAAACATTTTTAAACTTCAAAGTGCCATATCTCGATAATGACTGGATGTGCATTGGATCCTTTTTGTTTAACTGCATAGATTTGTAAGGCAGATTCCCCTGAAAATAATGAGCAAGGATGCTCTTTGTAAATACATATTATCAATTACAACATATATTTCAAACATCTTAGACACCTGTGCCACGGATATACCTTTTAGTTTCACTATAGTTTTGAACTACGTGACTGGTAAAATTTGAACAACAACCATCTTATTATAAAAGCGTTCATTGCCCCTTACCCCAACGACCATAAGAAGATAGAAGAAGGGTATCTTATGTCCAGCTGTTGACAGCTATATATGTACTTATTGACAAATAATAATGGCTCTAGATGGTGTCGCATGATTTAAATTCTATTTTTTTCGATTTTTTCGCTCTTTCGTGGTAGGGAAACAAAATGTATTATCAAAATTTTGTGTAACACTTTATTGTCAAAATCGTATTTACAAACCCTTACATCACACATTTAAAACGTACGCTATATACATATACTTACAATCTTTATTTACAATAGTCTTTTCTGAGAAGGAGATTGGTTCAATATTTCAATAAGTTGATTTTCAGTAAGTTGCTCACAGGGTGGTTCATCAGGTTCCTGGCTGTCTTGATCCTGAGATAACTGGTAGTGTATTAATTCATCCTCCGATAACCGATTTTTAGTTATTTGACCTCCTATCCGACTTGAAGTTGGCTGCGTATTTATTGAACTAGCTGAAGTAGCTGTCTGTGGTTTCGTATTTTGAGTGTTAATTTTTACTTTACCTTGTATCTCTAGGGCTTTTTCATCAATAACATTAGCAAATTCTTTCAATCTCTCTGTATGTTTTACACGTGGTCTGGTTCTAGGTTTTGATGGATCACGCATAAACAATTGGTCTCTTATTAGCTGGTTTTTCATAAACTGAGACGAATCTCTTATTGTCTGCTGTTTGACTGGCATATTTCCAGGTGGTTCGGCAATTGGCTGATTTATAGGCGTGTGTCTTGCAGTCTGGTTTTTAATTGGTTCGCTGGTAGATGGATTTCTTTCGGTATGTTCTCTGTTTGGGTGGCTTCTAGATGATTCTATCTTGGTCTCCCTGTTTGATGGATCACTAGACGTGTCATTATTGGCATGTTCTCTTAGCGATTCTCTTGGTGATGGGTCTCGTATTATGGTCTGACGTGTTAGATGGTGGTCTCTTAAGTGATCTGTAGGGCGGTCCCTACGTGGTCTATGTCAAGAGCCTTCTTTGACTTTCCCGTTCTCATTCGCTTTGCCGGTGATCCGCTCCATTACTTCATGATTGTAGGTTGAATGTAACATCAAACCAAGTACACCCGCTCTGTAAAAGAAAATGCTAATGAAAACTTGTAGTTAAGAGCCAATGTTCTATCTATAAAAACTATTGAAAATAATCATTTATGCCATATTATCAAAGTCACAACATAAATTTAATATACAATATCAAGGGATAATATAACACCAACCACATTCAGTTAAAAATCGCATTAGTGCGGTTATACACGGGGACTTATTAGTAACGATACAAACGCGCGATTGCAACACGACCCTATCGACTTATAGGCGGTTATATCGATGCAAACGCGAGATTATATCGCGACAATAGCGATTTATAGACGGTTGCACCGATTCAAACGCGTTATTGCATCGGTGCAAACGCGCGACTTCATCGATGCAGTCTCTACAAACGTGTATCGGGATTGCATTGTGTTTGCATCGGAACTGTATCGCTGCTTAACTTGCTCGTGTGTATACAAGTAGACGATCGCGACTGAATAGCTGCAGACGCGCTACTAAAAGTCTTCATATGTAAATCGCTCTGAGGGAGTAATCACAGTTATCACGTTCATAAGTGGACATAAGTCCCATGTGCCTGTAGTTTCACCAGTACCCTTACCCTTAAAACCAGAACGCAGAATGTTAACATTAATGCGTGGCAGCAGTATAGGAATGGTGGCACTATTAATATTACAAACTGAAGATTGTACGAGAAATGGTACCTAGAAGCCATGGCAAGTCGAATACTCCGTTCCTGTTCGACCAACTCGTCCAACTTCAACCACTGACGCACTCGTTCCATGTCGATCTCAGCGCGTCTCAGCTTCTCCCACTGGTAGTGCTTAAGGCAGGCCTTCTTCGGGGCGCGGCAGAACTCGCCTGTCGGTTCGAACACGTTGCGAACTAGAGGGCAGCCGCAGACGTCCGAATCGCTCACTTTTGGATCTTTGAAGTGCTCAGGACACATTACCTTTAAAAAGTTAAGTGAGGTCAATAAATTTTATAGTCGTCATCAGAATTTTAGCGTGTAATGATAGTAAAGCATCTACATACATATAAATACCATTTATGGTCACCTTCATGCCTATAAATGCTACGGATGGTTTTTTTTTTTATAATACCAAGTGACGGGACGAAAAAGTCTTGCGCCTGATGGTAAGCTACACTCCTGTCCATAACAGTTGCAGTGTCACTCAGGCTTTAAATCGCAAAGATCCGAGGTTCGCCGTAACTGCGCCCGTGACCCTGAGACATAAGTTGACAAGTCTCATGTTCCTGTAATTTCACCAGCACCCTTAACCTTCAAAACCGGAACGCAGTAATGCTCACATTACAGAAATAGGTAAGGTGGTAGTACTTCCCTGGATGAACCCTTTCACAAGGAGCTCTACTGCTGCTATATGGCATACCTTCACACCTATAAATGCCACAGGTGGTATTAAAGTGAAAATGTCCACATATTTTATTCACATATAAAAATGCCATTCATGGTTTTAAAGCGACAATTGCGACATTCCTTTAAAGGCCTATTGTTATTCGAGCGATTCTAAGATTACAATTATTAATGAAAGGAAATGGAACTATTTTTCGGATCTAAATCTCGTATTTTTGTTTTCCAAACTAACGTTTTGGGCCCTTGGGTCCCATGGACGGGGTTGACTGACCCACCATCACAACCACCCTATTTTTTATAGTTGCAAAAATTATTAATAAAAGACCTTATTTGAATTTTCACTACATATGCTTTTACAAAATATTGTATTATAACAATATGATTTTTAAAATTTTATCAGAAAATTAAATTAGATTCCACTACCTTTATTATTCCATATTCCATTTTGACGGCTAATTAGCTCAGTAAGGGTTTGAATGGCAATACTGTCATAAGTTGGCTAAATAAATATTTGAAACAGCGTTAAAATGGCAACACTGAACCGGAAACTGGCATTATTGCCACTACACTATTTATCCTTTTTAATTATATTTCGTAGCTATATGTATAAAATGTGCTTACCCTCAAACGTTTGCAGTAGGTTCCATTATTTGGGTTATAATAATCGCAGAACATGCTCTGTGCGTCTATACGGGTGCGGTGCCGACTGCCGAAGGACGCCTGGGCCTCGTATTTGATAAAGCATTTTTCCATGTGCTTGACCGCCGTGCGCGAATGGATCTCGTGACCGCAAGTTATGCAGTACATTGTTGTTTCTTCGTCTGTTTCCTGGGGGTAAAAAGATTACAAAGAAACAGAATTAAATTATTTCAATATAGGCAATTACTTCAAAGTCAACACAAGCTGGTACCATTATTGTACCAGCTTGAAATACAATAGAATTTCTTCAGAAATTAAGGAAAGAAAAATGGTGTTTAAATTTTGTTTTTGTTATTCTTAAAGAAATTATATATATTAAAATTATTATGCAATAATTTATAGTAACAATTATAACCTGATTAATCAGAGAAATTTCATGCTGGTTTACCGATTTTGTTACTTAAACCGCCACCTATTGTTTTAACTGTCTGTAAAGCGTTACTTTGTTATTCTATAAATTGCTATAATTAGTAACCGCGAAAAGACCAATAATCAAATAACCTCAGTGCAGAGTACTAAAAAAACGGACTTCAAAAGTCATTCATCCCCTAGTTTGCCATCCTTAGAGGTGGAATATTTTCTTCAAATTTAAATGGGACCACCACTGAGGTATCAAAATCGCTTCACAAATGTAAATGCCGGAGTTATCGCGTAACAATATACAATATTAGTTACAAAAATTGGAGAGGATGTGGGTTATATTTTTCTATATCTAATGAAGCAGTAAATGTTTTTGACGTAACTCCACTTATGCCATTCTTCCATGAAGAGTGCGTATAACAAATACAACGGGACTTTTCAAAGCAAGCATGACCAGACACCTTATCGCATTTTCCACTTTCTTCTCCCTGAGACTATGAGGTGAAATTATGATCTGAACGCTTGCTTATAACCGTTTAAAAAATTAAAACAAGGACCCACGAACCTTCTCGTCGCTATGCACGATAGTGACATTCTTGGCGCGTGCGATCAAAGCGTCCAATTCTGTGTGCTGCTTGTCGAGCGCCCTTAGCGAAGCCTGCGCACGCTGCAGCCCGCTGCGGACCACCTCCAACGCCTTACGGTTCTTCTGTTCCACCATGCAACTGGAAAGCGACCATTCTTGGATGCGTTGGGGTAGGACCTGTGAATAGAATCCATTTGTATTCATTATTCATTCATCATTATTCATCAATTTAATCAATAAAATATGTTATTAATGTATATTAAGAAACAGATACTTGAAGTAAAAAACTAGCTATCATTCATCGTCGTCAACCTACTGTACCTTCCAGTGCTGAGCATGGGTCTCATTTATGGAGTGTTCACTTTCCAAGAGTTGTGAAACTTTTTCAACATATGAATGTAAAAAATTTTTCGTGACCTTTTTAGTAATATTTTTATGATGTCAAATGACAGGACAAACAAGTCGGGCGCCTGATGGTTAGCGACACGCCTGTCTATAACAGTTGCAGTGTCATTCAGAGCTTTACGTCGCAAAGATTTGACTTGAGCTCTAGTGCTACTAAAATATGAGTTGATAATGATGATATGAAAAAATATAATAATAATAAAAAATATATCTGTAGTAGTATGTATTGAATAGAATGTCTTGCGTTTCACGTACCCTTGGTGTAATAAGACCACATCTGCAAAAGGATAATTTTTCAGGAGAGTCGATAACTTTCTTACACTTACATAGCAGAGTTGTAAAATTTCACATATAAATCATTTGTTTCACGTAGTTCATATTATTGTTAAGACTTTCCATGTGACAAAAACACTTTTGACGAATGATCACATGTGATATATTATACCAAGGAAGGGCACAGTTTGTTGTGCACCCTTTGCAGCTTCCCTCAAGAATATTAGATACCTGGTAAATCCTCGCAGTGGCCAGCCTTATCCCGCACTGTGCAGAGCAGTACTTGGAGCCGTACTGCGCGGCGCGAGTGCACTGTGGGCCGTAGCACTGCCGCGCCTCGCTGGTTTGCAGATGCGCTATTGATTCTTCAGGCTCGTACGTTTCACGTTCGTGGTGCTTCTTTTTTCCTCTGTTGCTGCTATACGAACAAGATTGCTAAGAAAATGACGCCTAAACGGACTAATTAATCTAGAACTGTAGTTTCATTGGCGATGCCGTTTAAAAAATTAATATCACAAATATATCATCCAAATACACTGCTATCAACAAATAGTGAATGTAATTTTGTATTTTGTGGTATAATGTTGTAGTGTCAACTATAATTATTTATTTTATAATTATATTTCTTACAGTAAATTAATATAGGTAATTTTCTTAACTTTTATACTAATATCATGACATGTTTTTAACTATAATTGGTTAAGCATTTTAACTGCAATACCCTGTCGAATTTCTGTAAGCTGTTGTAATAACCACATGTACTAAGTGTTGGTAAAGAGCCCCAAGTTTCCTCATGTCTTTTCCATATATTAACCTAACCTTCTTTTTTCTTTTCTTTTTGCCAACATGCAATCGGTCTGTGAGACCATAAACAGTTCATTTTTTGATATATTTTGGCAAGTCAGGCATACCCTGGAGAGCACTTGAAGTGGCTACTGTGTATTAACCTAACCTAAACCCACAGGAAGGAGCTCAGAAACGCAAACAGAAATAACTTACTTGATTATTTTGTCTTTAATACTTTGCCAAATCTGCAGCTGGCACTCCACATAATACCTAGACATTATATACAGTGTTTTTTTTTAATGGGATAGTATGTGGAAATCCGAAATCATAGAAGATACAAGGAAACTGTCTTAGGAACCATTCAGTCTTTTTTTTGTGTGAACAATTTTGGTATAGTCAATTTTTTTATCAAGTGTGAGTTGTCCATAAAAATGAATAATAATGATCAAAGCATTTTTAGTGCTAACCGACTCAGTTTCATGGATGGATCATTTCACTGTATGAGACAAAAAATCAGGCTAGCCAAAGTTGATAATTTTTTTTTAAATATGTTCCATACAAAATTAATAAAATTGTCAATTTTTTTAATGCTAATTGACTCAATTTCTCATAAGGATGATTTCATTGTAAAGGAAAATATAATCAAGACAGCAGAAGTTGGTCAAATTTAATAAAATTATTTTGCATACAAAAATAGATAACAATAACAGATATGTAGTCGCCCTATTCATAATCATGAAGCCGATATTGGCCTTTACGACAAACGGGTTTTGACCTGTTCTTATAAATTTGTATGTGTTTCGCAAAAACAAACATGTATTTGTGACTTGATTTTTCCCACACACACTATTTTCCAAAAAATTGCGTGTTTAGCTTTCTACAGGAGTATTGTGTCTATTAAAGAGCAGCACTAGCTTACAATATGCACAGTAATTTCATCTGGTTTATAGCAAAAACTACAGTCCGTGGTCATCCTATACAAAATAATTACTAACCTGGATTGTTTGGTAGACTTTCTCTCTTTGCTCTTGATGCATATCCTCTGTTTACATTTGGCCTTCACCTTGTTGCTGCCTCCGTATTTGTACATGTCTTCACATGCGTCACAGCTGGAAAAAAAAAATCATTGTATTAAGCCTCTACCTACTACAGTTTCAGATAAGAAAGAACAGTAAAAGAATCTATTTATAGTTTCTGTTCAAACAACCTTTGACACACAATAAAGAATAATACACACATGACATTGCTGATATCTAAGGCAATTGTGCTATATGAACTGGAGTCTGTTCTGAGGTGCCAGGATGTGCAAACAACCTTTGAACTTTCCACTCAACAGGCAAACAATCCAAAAATAGACTGCAATTGACTGCAATTGAATAGACAGCACTTGCTGAATAGTGCTTCAGCAGCACTACTCAGCAAGACGAATGACCGAAAGATAATCTTCAACGGAACTTTATAATAATAATAATATTTCTTGTTACAAAATAGTTACAACAGAATAGTGAAGTCCCTGACACCTGAGCTAGGTATAACCTGTGTTACAGGAGTCAGTGACTTTACACCGACAAGACACTTAGATTTTAGAGACATTTTTTGTAATAGTGTGTGTATTAACACACACTACATTAGTAAATTTGTATATATAGCAATTAATTTATTATTAAAATTAGTCTTTCAACAGCAGTCGAGTTTAATTTATCACCTGCTAGCATCCTCTCATTGTGGCCAAGTCACCTTTACCCATCAGTAGATAGGTCTCGTGAGTCTGTGAGACCGACAGTGAGAATATCTCGCACTCTAACTATAACTCGCATGGCTAGAAGATGCTAACACCTGCCTCTTGAGTCCCTTCGAGACCATGGACGTTGCAATATGTCCGAAACGTCGAAATAAATTAAATATGTTTTATACGTGATTAAGTCCCAAATTAAAAATGAAATATTGAGAATATCCATCACAGTACACGCTTTTTTCCTTCCCCCGTCCGTCTGTTGCCTTAGGTCTCACGACCCATGTATTCCGTACTTATCTATATATTTATTCAGCACACTTATATGGTCAGGGCTAGGATCTGTTAGATTACTTAGGTGATAGGCATACACCTAAGGTCACTAGCTTAGCTTGCTCTACCTTATTAAGTTCATTCCTGTACAGTTTATCGACGACCATAGACACACCACAGATATACAGACTTGCTCTAGTCGGCAGATTGCATACATTTCTATAAAAAAATGTTTCTTTCTTCACTACTTTTCATCACGCATATTAATATCATTGGACTATAATTGATATGATATAGTAGAATAGGAAATTAACTACTTACTGCCCACAATCTGCGAGCTGTAAGCACCCTGGACAGTCTCCACAGCCATCCTTGATACTAGGTCTCTTGGAGGACTTATTCTCCGAATGGTCTTTCTCTTTGCGCTTCTTCTTTCTGTCGTCACGACCTGGAATGTGATCTTAAGTAATATTGCATATTATCACCTTGTCCAGCAGTACTCAAAAATCTAAAGGTTCCACATGAATGCTTGCAGATATTATGCTTTTTATTTTATTTTTTATTTCATAAAATTACACAGTATTCACAGTAAATCACCAAGGCACTGAAATTCAATAACTAGATAATATTAATAGTAAATCACAGATGATAGTCGCTCATCCTCCTCTCACAAAACTTCAAACATTCATCACGCACAGCCACTCATCTACTTGCAAAATCATCGCAGTCTGATGCAGATACGAGAAACACATTAAAACATTACAGAACACGAACAAGTGGTGTCTTACTGTGTGATATAGTACGCACCGCCGGCACTGCCAGAAGATGGTGATGTTATGGTGAATGCTTTTTCAATTGATTTTGAACAAGAATTTTCACTAATTTATTAATAATTAATACAAAAAAGAATGTTTTGCTCAGTTTTAATTCAACAGTACATATCATAACACATAAATGTTCTATTATGTAGTATCAATATTGTATATCTGTGATAAGAAACAAACCTGAGTCTCCATCATTCTCCCTCTTCTGTGGTCTAAATCTAGTTTTCAAAGTTGGATCTTCCTCCCTGCAGCGGTCACAAAAGTATGTCTTGATGTACTTGGCTTCACGCTCAGATATGTTGATGCAATCTCCATGGTACCATTCTTCACATGCGTCACATGCTCTGGACAAACAACACACTCATGACGTAAAATATCCAATGATGGGTTGTAACATACTAATTTTATAAATTAAATATTATAGAAATAGAAATTAAATATTTCATACAATAGCATTGTTTGTATGAAATTAATTCATAGTTTTATCCGTGTGTTAATTTCCCTAAGTATTCCAATCAGTCTGTCAAATATTTTATCACATTGCTGCAACATATCGACTTCTCCATAGAACAAAAATCTATGTGCAAGACTACTTGTTCTCAGGACATACTACATTTCGTTAGTTCTTCTTCGCTGTGGATGTCAGATCAACCATTGTTCGATTTTATATTTCCGAAACGAAATAAGATATATAAATTCTTAAAAAACCTTTACAAAGGCCTCAGTTTGAATAACGAAATTATTCTCGTAACGTACTTATTCTCTTTTCACTACATAATCACATCGGACTCTGTTCTTCGGATGAGTTGATATTCACCCAGATTCATACTTAAAGTTTGGGCGCTATTATGGTCAAGACATTTTTATTTAAATTTTATTTAGCATGCAATCCTGACATTGTGCACCACTAGTTTTTTTTTATGACACTAAGAGACGGGAAGAACAAATGTGCGACTGGTGGTTAAGCATCACACCTGTCCATAACAGTTGCAGTGCCACTCAAAGCGCACTGCCACTGCACCTGTCATCCTGAGACAACATCAATCATCCATACGACGCCCAATGCTGGGCATTGGCCTCCCCCAACGATCTCCACAACATTCGGTCCTGCGCTGCCCACATCCATCGGCTTCCCGCGACCTTTACCAGATCGTCGGTCCACCTGGTGGGGAGTCTACCCACTGAACGTTGTCTGGTGCGCGGTAGCCATTGAAGAACCAATCTGCCCCAAAGGCCAGACTGAGCAATTCTTCTAGCTATATCGGTTATCTTAGGTCTCTTATAGATTTCCTAATTTCTGATTCTATCACGTAGGGAAATACCGAGCATCGCTCTCTCCATTGCCCGCTGAGTGAACTTGAGCCTTCTTATGGCCATAGTGAGGGTTCCTGATCCATATTTCTGCCTCCGTGGCCGAACAGTTACCATGCCGGACTGCCATGCAGAGGTCCTGGGTTCGATTCCCAGGCCGGGAGAAATATGTGTATGGCCTACATTTATTTCTCTCGTGAGTTTGGGTGTAATTTGTGGTTGTCTATGTGTGTGTCCATGGCACCCGCGACACAGGGTTTTCCTAGTGCGGGGCTATGTTGAGTGTGTGTATGAGAGTGTGAAAAAAAAAAAAAAAAAAAAATATGTGATCACTGGCAACACACACTGGTCTAAGACTTTCGTCTTGAAACACTGTGGTAATTTGAAAAAGAAACAACATAATAATGCAGAAATAGGTAAGACAGCAGTGCTGCCCTGGACACTCTTTCACAAAGAACTCTACTAAACTACTAATGGGTACATTCTGTACTTAGTCCTTGACAGCAGGATAGCATAAAAACCCAGTTGTGTAAAATTCACATTGAAACAATATTACAATGACATTCAAACACAACAAATACAATGCAATTGGTATGAATATGTGAAGTTTGTGAATGTGAAAAAAAAATGTAATTTACCATTATATTACCCAAATAATATTCTTTAGTTAATATTTAAGACAAAAACCATTGACTTAAAAACACTTAATATTTAACACGTTGTGTTAAAATGAATTATTGCAAAACATGCAAAATTGTTAGCCCTACCAATTTAACACAAAACAAACAATCTTTTATATTAATTGTTTATGAATTCATTTGTTCAGAATACCGACCCCACCTATAGTATATCCATAATGTAAAAAAGGCAAGCGCAATTTCACTTCTTACATCATAAACCGTGAGCTGTCCGACGAGCGACAAATACAGTACGCCTGACCGGCCTGATTGAGCAGCGTGGTGATCTTCGACTGCCGCTCAGGCAGCTCGAATTGCTTCGCTATATCCGCCTTCTAAAGAAAACAAAAACATACCAAAATTAAAAACAAATCCTGAAGCTCAAGATGTGGAACCAATTTTGAAGTATAAACTGCTCATATTTACGCTTTGTTTGTGCTTTCTGTCCCCCATTATGGATAAGTGAACCGCGTTTAGCGCTTGGCAAATTAAAATTGACGATTTTTTTTCGAAAAAATTTAGGAAAGGTAAATTGCGAATTTCCAACGCAGAATTTTTTTTTGTACTGTTTTTTTCGTATATACTAAATCCATGGTTTCTTTCCATTGCAAAAGGCAAAGGCACTAATGCGCCATACAGCCAAGACTGGGAGTAATTTCGTTCTTGGATTCCATTACAAAAATTAAATGCCTTTTGATAGTGATTCGAAATTATATAAAATTGGATAACATTCTTGATTTTTCCATTTCAGGTTTATGTTTCACCTTTTTATTTATTTCGATTCGCAAAGATTCTACCATACAGCCTCTATATATATAATCTTTTATGCAGTAAACGTAGTGCTTAAATTCTCTTTGATGCAGATTTCATTTTTCTACTTCAAGAAGATTTCACCTTAGAGGATGGAAAAGATTTCACTTTTGTTTATTTTATGACTGATTCTACGTAGATATAGAATAATGCACACTACACATTATCAATTGGATTTTTTTAACTATTCAAAACTATTCCTATTATGAAAGGTGATATGACATGGGCTGTGTTATTTATTGCAAAGACTTACGAGTTGGAATTTCGAAAATTAATTTAAAAAGACTTATACCATTTGTGTACTATTATTTATGCATTATATTATTATTATAAGATCATTGAGTGCACGCTTGCCAAAATAAGAATAGTATTTATCGTTATTGGAAATGTTGCTAGTCAAGTGGTTATAATAGAAAAATTATGCCTTTTTCGAAACGAAAAAACTAATGTCATTGGTTGCTATAGCAACTAAAAATGTTTGTTTGAGGTTATTATTTATCAGATTCCGGGAATTCACTCTGGACCTTTTGGAGGGAAAAGTGTCGTTTTTATTTTGACTTTCAATTATTTTGTGAAATCTAGTTTAAAGTGGAATAGGATAGTGCTATTGTGCCTTAATCGAAGATTAAAACGCGAAATTATACGAATCTCAAACTAAAATACCCGGATCGGCCCGTTTTAAGGAATCCCAAGTCAATCCAAACACGCCTCCTCAAATTGCCTATCCTCTTTGTGGCGGCCATATTTACAGAAACATATTTAAACTTCATGTTTAGGCTGATGGCTTTGCCAAAGCCTTAATAAATAAAAAAAAAAAAAAAAAAAAAAAAATCAGATTCCGGATTCCGTGTTTTGTTACTACAAAAACGACATGGAGAATTTGGATACTCCTCAAATAATAACGCATATTGAGAGTAACTTAAACCACAGTTTGTTTGATTGCAAATGGATTCCGTGTTCGGCGAAATTCGTTGTCATAGGCTGCTTGCCGAGAGGTACAGGCACTATTGAAATATTTGAAATTAACTCGGGAGAAGCGAAGAAATTAAAGGAAATAGAACGTCCTAATTCGTTCAAATGTGGTACCTTTGGAGCCAGTAATGATGTGGAACGGAGACTTGCTACTGGTGACTTTAAAGGGACTTTGGAAATATGGTGAGTTCTAGCATTAGGATATCAACACGCTCTACTTCAACGTGCTAGCCCTTCAGTCTTATAGTTTTGACTAGGTCTAGAATGTGATAACCCAACCGCAGTACATTCTAATTTCTAAGTAGAGGTTACAGGTGTGATGAACCAGATCCCTAGAAGAGACTCGTGATTATAATATGTGTATACAATTATTAATTAATCTTTTTTCGTTTGTACATTGCGGATATCTGTTTCTTCAAATAAACCAATGATTTAGGATTGGAAAAATATGGTTTAATTTCCAATGTGTAGCAATAGGGAATTAAGAAATCAATATGTATGCAAATGTTCATAAGTATTTTAAAATATTGTAACAGTTTCACTAACACTTGACTTTCATTCAATATGCAAACATCTATTATTGACCCTCTAATTTAGGTTCATATACTTGTAACTTGTTTATGTACATTATATACTTTACTATCAGTAAAGGATCATTAAAATTCTAATTTATAAATCAAGTTCTTAAACAGTTGTCGCTGTGCTACACATACTTATTAATTGCTGTGAAAGTTTAAGGTTACTCTGTGAAACCATAACGCTCTTGGTAGTTTTACCAATATTGCCATTCTATTTTTAATTACGGTTTCTGAATTTCAGTTTAAAAATATATAAACTCATTTGTAAATAGATATTCACTATTTTATTAAAATAATTTTGTAAAACTATACTTTGTATTGTATTTAATTTATCTCTAGTATTAAGACTAAGAGGAATGTTAGAAGAGTTGTTGAGGTCTTATATCTCTACCAATTTCAGTTAGCGACCGATGTAGTGTGTATGTGTAATGGTGATAAAAAAACCATTGTGATGAAACTACAAAAGAAATAATCATTCTATTTTACTACAAGACAAAATTCAAAAAGAAAACTAAAACCAAAAAATGTGTACAACAGGTGGCATATTACTAGATAGAAATCTTCCAGGTAACCTCGATATTCCAATAAATGGTCATTATATAAAAACCTTGACAGAATCAGAAAAACCCTAGAAGAAAGTAGGAGTACTGCTCATTAGTTGCCTGGACAGGCTTTTGACCGAGTGTCGCATAAGGGTCTGCTCTGTAAAATCAAAAGCAGTCTTCCTCACAATTACTTCGTGCTATTCGAGTCATACTTGTCTGACAGACTCCTTCAAGTAAAGGAGGGCGAGTCACCCTCATCTTTAATTGAAATTAAGACAGTGTGCCTCAGGGCTCGGTTTTGGGACCCAAGCTATATTTTTACTATTTACACAGCCTATTTGCCTGTAGTAGAAGATGTTACTACTGCTACTATATTACAGCTGTATTTTTTTCTATAATATATATACATAAATAAAATACCATATACCAAATTCTCAGAGAAGATTTAGTCTTTGAAGATGTGTAAAGTTCCCAAAACTGTATTAGGCCATTATGGGCTATATACCTCCTTACAGAAGTCCTGTGCCCACTTCCTACTCACCGTGAGCATCTGGCTTAAAGATTTAAAGTTGTCTTGGGCAGAACAAGCAAACTGATATCAATTTCCCTACAGGGACTTAGAAATGAACTCACAAGTGTATATAACAAAGGAACACACGGACATAATAAATTCCATAGATGGCATTGGAGGGAACACAGTCAACTGTGGGGCTCCAGAACTTGTCACTGGTAGTAATGACGGTAAGTTTCCTAGCTAACTGTAATATTTCTTTCCAGATAAATGTTTGCTGGAAGAACAATCCTAAAAGTTAACTCCTCTAACTCCTAAGAATGTAACACCACTTCTGCACTTATTACATTTGAATGAAAAATGGAGTGAGCAATGTAGTATAGGCTGATATGGTAGTATAGAATAGTATGAAATGGTAAGAAATTTAAATGATCAGCACTAATCACTGGATTCAGAAATTCAGCCGTAATGAGCGCGGGTTATATGCACCATAAAATGAACCAAAAGTCACAACTTTATTTGTTGAAAACACTCGAAAGTTTCAGTACCTGAAAAAAGAAAAATGAGATAACAAAATAGAATCATAAGCACTTAGTCGAATACACTAAGTAAGTATACTAATACACTACGCACAGCATGCGACCCACTCTAGGAGACGGATAACATACCGTTTGTCAAATAATATATCTAAATTCTGATACTGGGTGAGCAATGCAATGAGGAGCGTGATCGCACGCGGATTAGTATATTCATTTCTTAGAAAGGCCATTCACACTACAATGGCTAAACTAAAACAAAAAACCACCATTATGCTGAATGTTATTCGTCAAAATTATAGAACAGAACAAAAGTTGTCACTACTGTATTTTTATTTTGATTAAATATCATGTTTTACTATTCATCTATTTTGTGTGAAAGTACTCCGCTAGTTTGTTATTATTATTACTGATATAAAGAAAGAACAAACACAAAGAAAAATTCCTTCGACCCGGACTCAAACCAGCGACTGCTGCCTGAGTGTGGCTACTACTTTTTGTGATCAAATTTCGTTACTGACCATAACAATGCGTTTTTGTATTTACAGGCACAGTAAAAGTATGGGACCCTCGCCAAAGAGGAAAACCAGTGGCAAACATGCAGCCAGCAAAAGGCGAAGGCAAACGTGACTGCTGGACTGTGGCCTTTGGGAACTCTTTCAACGACGCAGAGAGGATCGTCTGTGCTGGATACGACAACGGGGATTTGAAGATGTTCGATCTGCGCAGCATGTCACTGAGATGGGAGTGTAATTTGAAAAATGGGGTATACGATTATTTATTTATTTCTTTACAAATTGTGTAGATGGCCCAGTGTCCAACCGGTGGTTTCTCAATTAATCCATGCAACGGCATGTGTACATACCTCCGACTTCTCTAAATAACGTACATTTGTAATTGTTTAGGCTCGCTGACGGTGAAGTGAAACATCGAAATGATACTGCTTTGGAAAGTTTGTGAAGTCTTCAACCCGTATCTTTAGAGGAAACCCGCGCCCAGTAGTGTGACATATAATGCGTTGATGTTGTTTGTGTTGATATATCCTAACATAGCCAAGATATTAACTTGATGAAAAAACATGTAAAGATGTTCAACAATAGAATTTCAGTAATACCTTACATAACCTTATAAGAATTTTGTCATTGACATATTTACAAAGAAAATTCATATTTGCCGTTGTGGTTTGGTAGTCAATTTATAATATAATTTTCTTACATGACTGCCGATGTGTAGTGTAAGTAAAGAGGATCGTTGACGTGGTAAAAGAGGCAGGCATCCGCTGTAAAGTTCATATTCCCCCAAATGTCCGGCAGCAATCCCCCAAATGTCCGGCAGCAATTCCCCACACGTCGAAATACTCAAAACCCCAAATGAGTCCATTCCCCACAAAATCCCCAATAAAATTTGTAATTCGCCAGATATTTTATTAAGTCACCTAAAATCGCCTTTTCCTATTTCAAACAGCCTAAATATCGCCGAGTCGCCGACCACTTTTTTATCGCCGCGCGACCCTGAAAGTAGCGAAAAATCGCCTAATCTGGCAACAGTGCCACTTGTAGCGATTTTTGGAAAGGCTTACATCTAAGACGATGATGATGAAATAACTACCATTGCCAGGGAAAACTTCGTCTCCCAATAAAATATTCAAAATTCATTTTTTAGGCCACGAAGAGGCGAGCATCTAAATAAAATAGATACCCAAAATAATAATAATAACATCATAACAGTCACCAAATGTATGTACCAATATCAAACCCATTTCCGACATTCAAGCACGTCTCGATGCAAGCTAAGAAATGATGGAACAGTGCGTCTATGTGCTATCTTATAGCATATAGTGCATCTATATATTTTTGTATCAAATCTATATAAATAAGTTTCCCAAGTACAATACGTTCAATCATCTACCAACCAACAAGTCAATAATTTCCACCACATACCTACCATTTTGGTACACTGCCTAGGTGCAGGTGAAGGTACTGCAGACTACCTTCACAGCACCTAGACGCAATAACAATATATTGTTCCAAAAAGCCTTAGGTCAATTAGGTACAGTACACTTAAGCGAAAGGTAGCCACTAAATATTACACATTTGAGAAAAGCCTCGTGCTTATTATGTAGAATGCTCTGAGTTATAACCAGCAGCTACAGTACGACAGTGGAAATTAATTGATTAGGTATATATATATATATCTGTTCGTGAAAGATAACGGATTTTAAGCCCACATTTTTGGATTTTAGATGTTTTTACAAACATTGCTTTAGAACGCTAAAAACCACGCAATGGTAATAAGACATTAAGAATTATCGTCGTTTGACTTTTTATTTAACATAATTCTATTCGACGTTAAGATTGATTTTTTTACATGGGTACTCATTTTCTTTAAAACGCTGTGTAGTAAAAATTACTATTTGGCACTTAAGGTTCTTTATTTTTCATCTACAGGATATGTAAATAGATACTATTTGCCAACAGGTATGCTACACTGAATTCGATCGTAAAACTATACCCATGAATAAATTAGTGGCCACTACCTTGGAGGGGAAGTTCCATGTCTTCGACTTAAGAACACAGAATCCGGCTAAGGGATTTGCTCAGGTATATTTAGTAAAGAATAGTAACTTTGCATAGTTTCTAAAACAAGCAGCGGCAGCGCATGAGGAGGTCCCGGGTTTGATTCCCGATAGGACCAATTTGAAAATTTAAGTTTTTTAAAAATTAGTTCAGATGTTCTGGGTGGTGCCCCGGAGTGAAATCCGTTGCTCTGGTACAGGAAGTTCCCTGGTTTGAGACCAGTTGATTGGCGTGGTTGCTCGGCATGGCCGAACGGTTACCATACTGGACTGCCACGCAGAGATACCGGGTTCGATTTCCAGACCAGGAGAAATATTTGTACAGATTACTTTTTTTCTCGTAAGTTTGGGTGTAATTTGAGGTTGTCGATGTGTGTGTCCATGACACTCGCGACACAGGGTTTCCCTAGTGCGGAGCTACGAGTGTGTGTGATATTGATTACCTTTAGAACAACAGTGCTAGAGCAACAGAGAGCCGCCGGCGAATGCTGATCATTGTTTGCATCAGCCTAGCGCAGTTCACTGCTGCACATAGGCCTCTCGATCCGCAGCTTCTCGCTCTATCTGCTGCCTGCAGCCTTTCGCAGATCGTCACTCCATCTCGTCACTCATCCCCTCCCCTCAAGAACTCGCTTCCTCCACCTCCATATCAGTTCTAAGGCTACGATTCTGCCGATGATGCGAAGCTGTGCGAGGTAGCCAAGCGGTTCGAGGATGTGTAGCGGCGCTGTGAAACGGTGTGATGGTTTCCACGAAAGCTGTGCGTGGTAGTTAGACTGTGGGATGATGCGTAGCGAAGCTGTGAAACGGTGTGTAACTGAGCGGTGCGAAGATGAGTAGCGGACTCTTAAGTTATGATTGGGTGAAGTGCGGTGTGGTGGGATGAGCGGAGGCGATGACTCGTACCTCGCACACATCCCTCGCCTTTTTGTACGTACAAATACTTGCCTTCGCTAGCCTTCTTCCATCAGAGCTGCGCTAAGCGAGGCAAGGAAAATGAAATAATCCTATTGGTGGATTTTTTCTTCGCACACCGCCTAACTACCTCGCACATCTTTGGAGTAACCGCAACCCTAAACAGAACTTGATGTCAACACTAATATTACGATTGCATTTTCGGGATGTCACTGATACGTTCCACCGAAAAGCTAGGTCTCCTTATATGGAAAACGTTTACGTGTCGTATCAATTCGTAGGATTAAAAAATAACCTTTGATTTCAGGTTTTGGACAGTTCTACGAGAAGCGGGACGATATGGGTGGCTCGTCATTTGCCGCAGAATCGCGACATATTCGTTACTTGCGCCGGCAACGGTCATGTTACACTGTGGAAATAGTAAGTATTTAAAACCTAATACATTAACTTACGATTACTTTCCTATGTAGTTCTTGAATATTACACTGTGTTTTTGATATCAATGTATTTTAGTAGCAGTAGAGCTCCATGTGAAAGAGTTCATCCAGGTAGTACTGTACCAGAGAACAAAAAGTAAAGAGAACGGACACTCTCCGCCCCTCCCTAGCATTAGTTACCGCACCACGCCCCGCACATTGCTGGTCACATTGGCTGAACGACAACAAGGCTGCCGGCGAGCCGTTTTCGCGCGAAGACGGCTTTGATATTTGAATATAGTTTTCATTTATTCATTACGAAACTTGTACGTTAATAGAAAACATCATTTTAAGTTACTATTTATAATGGTCGTGAATTGTGCTGTGTACGGCTGTTTATCATCATTTTCCGAAAGATGAAACGAAGTAAGTAAAAAAACTTATGTCTGAGACTCATTCAGTTATTGTTTTCTTCATTTATTCACTGCAGGGTAATATATGTATGCATGTATAAAAAATTCAGATTTATTATATCAATATAATGAGGCGCCATAACTTCGTGAGCTAGTAGACAATGGTTCTCGAATAATATACGTAAGTAGCGAATATATCTAATTATTAACTAAGTAATGATGATCAACTTGGACACGCAATTTCAAATACCTTGGTTACCTTATTTAAAGAAAATGTCCAAAATATAACATTTTAAGTGCTTTTAATATATTTTTAAATAAATCTTCAATATTACTCTACTTAGTGAATTAATGAAAAATATGATATTATATCGATATAAATACATAATAGACATGTCTAATTATTAGGCCTCTGCAAAGTATATACATAGTAATCTGTGCTGCATTCTATTAATAGAATCATAGATTATAGATTCGCGTTAGCATTTTCGCTATGTTGCCGCTCTAACGTAATAGTGCAAGAAAGTGATGGGTAACTCTGCCACTTCACGCACACATTTACGCGTGTGCTAATAGCGCCTTGTTATATGTAGTAGTAGTAGGTAAATAATTTTCGACCGTTTTATGGAGTGTTCGGGGTGTGACTGTACCTATTTCTGCCGATGTGAACAATACTGCGTTTCTGTTTTGAAGAGTAAGGATGCTGGTGAAATTATAGGCACATGGGACTTGTCAACTTATGCCTCAGGGTGACGGGCGCAGTGACAGTGCCCCTAAGATCTTTGCAATTTAGAGCTCTAAGTGGCACTGCAATTGTTATAGATGGGCGTGTCACTTACCACCAGGCGTTTGACTTGTTCACTCCGTCACTTGGTATTATAAAAAAAATGCGAGTTTTGGCAGTAAGAAAATTAATTTCTTTCGAATCCCTCAAATTTTGTCACTACGGTATTCGTAATAAAGATAAGAGAAATAAAGATGGCACAAGTAAGTCGCCTTGTGTGACTCCTAAGTCCAAAGGCCAATTTAGGCTATTAGCGCAAAAATGGTGTAACTCACATTTAATTTATTTCTTCAATATTTTTTCAATGATACTAACTGTACCGACGCACTATGGAAAATATGGGTGCGTTTCGGATCAAAAATCAATAACTTTTTTGTTTCTTAAAATTATGTCTTGAAATTTTTCGTTATTGTAGAGGAATATATAAGGCTTCGAATGTGATAGTTTGGTATAAATTAGTATAATACATATTTTATTATAAAATATTAAAAATCAAAGTCCAATAAAAACGATCAATAAATGGAGTTTATTCATTTTTATGTTAGTAACTATTTATGTTTCGTAGGAATTAAGACATAAATATGCAACTACATTACCAAGATACATTAATATAAAAATATGAAAAGCTAATTCTACTTTAAACAATAACTGAAAAAAAATTAGTAGTGAAAGTTATTAATATTATTTTAAATGCACATTAAAGGTTTAATGTACCTATTGCAATTTATACCTATGTGGTTTGTATAAATATTTATTAATAGATTTTTGCCAACTAAACTTGCCGAGCTTCCGGATCTAAAATTAATTCGTTCACTTTCAAAAGATGTAGTGTATCCTCATCGAGTTCTTTAACGTTTTTGCTGTATGGTTTTCTAATGCTTGTTATGTATGGATCTGATGTGTAAAGAAGAGTATGAAATACGTCTTCATTTGTGGCTGCTCGGGAGCATTTTCGGGCATGATGAAGGCGAAAGTTTTTGTAATCCTTATTACGGGATTCTTGTGCGTCTTCCGAAAGTTGACCAATCGGAAGCACTGCAAAATGCTTTATAATACTTTCTCCGTGTATTAAGATTTTGTGAACTGAGGATGGCATATAGTACCATTCATAATTACTGACATAAATCCTGGCAGTCTCCATAGCATAACTACCAAATTTTTCCGCATCTACCATCACACCTGATGAAAGTGCTTGTAGTATTATGTAGAGACGTTTTATCAAAGTCACATCCACACCAGTAATTTCAGTAAGATATGCATGGTCTTCCACGTTTTCCAGAAGATGTAGATGGAGTGGTATCGGTTAAAACGCCTTCTGAAGTGGGTATAGTCACAGAATATTCCAAGTCCAGCCAATTGCTATTGTTCTTCAAAAACCTTTCTTTTTTCCGAGAAGCTTGCTCCCATTTTGTATTGAAAACGGGAATCATACGTCTTTGAATGTCTGATAATGAAGCATATGTTGTCTTCAGAGATTTGATGATTTTCTTTCAAAAGACTTGATATTGCTTCCATAGTTTTTCCTCCTTCGATATACGAAAGTATTATTTCACGTTTAGACAACTTGAAGGTAGACATTTCAATGTTAAAGAATACAATGTCTGTCCTTAACAAACGCGCGTATATTAATATCTTTTGAATCTGTAATGAACTATTATAAAATCAGCCCTTTATATACCATTTAAAAAAAAGGTTCGTGTGCAGAGTTTTGATAAATTTATTCACACACATAATGAGTGCAAAACTGATAAAGTTTGTCATAACTATGTTTTTTTAATAGTAAATAACAAAACTTACCTCAAACTATCAATAGAAACGATCAACACTCGAAACCGCAGTAGATAGTGGTTTTCCGTTTCTCGGACTCTTATCACATTTGTACCAATAACTTCGAAAAGCGCAAAAAGGCGCAGCCAATTTTTATACATGTTATTATTTAATAACTAGGCTACCATTTAACATTCGAATCTAAAGTAGGGAGGACGTTGGTAAGTGTCAAAACTCTTAATCAATTTTAAAAACACAGGTTTTTGTCCTTATTTCATTTTCGATTTATTTAAACGTAATTTTTAATACAAAATATAAATAAAGTATGTTGTGAAAATCTACAAAGAATAACCTTTTTAAAAATGTATAACACTTACTAATTTCTTATAATATTTACTATTCAAATTAACTTGCAAAGATGAGTAGTGAACTCCCTCAAAAATATTTTTTTCGTTCAATCATGTTTGACATTTTGTATAAAAAAAACTATACGTTTTTTATGGAAAAATGCTTCTGTATAAATTAGTTGCGTCATTAAACTATAAGATAAAATTAAAAAATATATCAATAACGACATTGTTCAAAATGATTTTTGATCCGTGCTTGTTCTACCATTTTCCATAGATCGACGGCAGCATATCAAGCTACGCATTGACTGATTTTATTCCTTTGCTTTGAAAGAAAAGGTTACAAAAAATGGCTTCCATTCCGTTCCGCGGCTATGTAAATTGAGCCTTATATACACTTGATACCTTTTGCAGTGAATACCCAGATCAACGTTACCGTACAGACGACAAAGGCGCAGCAGTCGGTGTACCGGGCAAGTTGAAGAAACTCCAAAATATGGTTATCAGCTCCCAACCAATCAACTCCCTCGATTGGAACAGAGACCACACAGGATTGGCTGTCGCAACTGCGTACGATCAGTGCATTAGGGTTATTGTGTCCACTAAACTTAATTTACAGTGACGTTGAGTTATTTAAGTAAATTTTAATATAGTTACCCTTAGTGCCTATACTGCCGCATAACTAATTGAAATGTGACTTTTAGGGTCGTATTCTAGAACTCTAATCAATGCTCAAGTCAGGATTTGAGTATGGTTTAAAGCACTCGAAATCATCCTCAAGTCCCTGCCATTAGGGTCGTATTTCCAGTGCTTGTGTTTCAATTGCAATCCTGACTTGAGCATTGAGTAGACTTCTAGAATATGACCCTAAGAGCCAATGCACACGGCGTATTTTATACGCTCCGCGTGTAGTCGCGCGTTTTGGTAAGAGATAGTTTTAATTTTATTTCGTTCGTTAATTTTAGTTAGTTTATTAAATTAAGCAACTATATGAAATTTTAAGTGTATACTCCAGTGGAGTATATAAGCTTCTTGCTTGCAACGCGATGTTTGCGCGAGTTTGAATCACAGATGACGCGCGTTCGTGAAACGTCCATCGTCGGCGCGTATAAAATACGCCGTGTGCCCAAGCTCTTAATACTTAGGTCATGAAGACTCGTTGAAATACCTCGCCTTAAAAAACAAAATGTTGCTAGGCAACCAATGATGGCGGGTAAAAGAACGTTTTTTCTCAATGCTCATTGCTTAGGCTTGCTCTGTCCACGGCCTATTCGTGTAATAGGAACTTAAATAAGTAAGCGCAGTACCTGCTTCTATTTTCTCAACGTCTCTCGGTCATCTTCGTGTTTCGGCTGTTGTCGGGTTTTATTCAGTTGCCCTTTGCCTTTGGTATAGACCGGACACTTCCAGATGACTTGGAAGTATATAGAATTACTATTACATTTTTTATTTATAGCTATGTCAGATGAAGAAATGCGTTCTGACACGGACTGAATTGAAGTTACATAAAAGAAGCACACTTTATTTACTTCACAATTTTGTTAACTTACTTATTGAAATAGTTTCGCAGCTATAAATATTGTTCACACGGAATTCGAAACAAAACTACAATAAAGTACGTTGTTCGAAATTCAAATTATTATGGATTTTAAATCTAATAATGTGCATGTAAGTCAATGATGTGCATGGAAAGTAATATTCGTGTGCATTCGGAAATCCGATGATTGCCGAGAGACATAGAGAAAATAGAAGCACGTGTAATTATGCAGACGTATACTTAATACGTACTGGCCAATTAGTATAAAGTTTACAAAGTACCTATTAAGACGTTTGATTTATGAATAAAATAAGTTTTTGAATCCTATGTACTGCTAGATAGTAGGTAACGGTAGATGAAAAGAAACAAAATTGTGAGGTTTTATTTTATATTGATTTACTACATATCTCTTCCAGCATCAATTTCCGTTTTAAATCTTGAATTACTACTTGAACTCGTATGTTTGCGTACTTTCCCTTGTTTGCAATCTCCCTTTAAATAAAAAACAAATTGATGACACACGGTTTTAGGTTCGTGTGAGGTACAAGATTTACGAATTTAGCCGACGATATGGAACTGACTTTAGTATAAGGTTCAATTTAATAGTGGAAGCGAATTGTTGTAACGATATTGTACATAGCATAACTTCTACAAAAATTCGCTTCCATTTCGTTACGCCGCAATATAAATTGAGCCTTACGGTTCCAAAATTACATGAATAGTTTTTGAACAATTCGAAAATTGTTTAAGCTTAAAGCATTTAATACTGGAAAATGCAAGGTGGCTCGAATGCATCAGTCTTCAATAGTCCAGGAGTGCAGAACTATTCGAAGACGTGTGTGGGCTGTGGGACTGTGACTAACCGATTTATACCCACTACCTGTTTTGTTCGCATTTTAATCGTTTAATTAATTACTGATTAATTCAAGCCGACAAACGTAAACTTAAAGTTACTTCTTTCTTGTCGTGTCGATACTTCTTTTATTTTAGCACTATATTGGCACTGAATAGTACGTTGCTACCTTGACTGCGCTGTCCGTGATCGCGTAGAGATCTACCCTCGTACAGGTATTAGGACACAAGGAGCACAACAGTAAGCGCTGCATGGACTGTGTTGGGCTATCGCAGTCACATTGGGTTTGACTAACATCCCTGAAACACCATTTACACATCGTGTCTCTGCAGCGTCCTACACGGGCCACCGCAGGTCGCAACCTGGTGGTAGTTGCTCTTGAGGTATGATATACCAGGTGGTGGGGGGTATTTGCCCACACAGTGGAACATATTTGATAATGATTAGAATATCATGAGTTTAGTTGGAGCAAACGCAATAATGATGCGTGCCGGCAAATCTTTAAAATACTTTTTTGTTATAGAAAGTAAATAAAACAATAAATTCAATTTTCTAACTCAAAAGAGCGGTTTATTATCCTAGCACTTACCATAAATAAAATTAAGGCTAGCATTCAGTTCTTTACCACTAATAAATGTTAGAACAAGTTGATTAACACACTTAAGTAGCGATAATAACAACTCAACCATGTTAAGGTCAATTTCATGGAGACGGAAGAGATGAAAGCATAATTCTCGTCTCCTTATCCATAGCTGGCGTAACCGATATTCTAATCCAAAGCCACATCTAACAGTTAAAAAATCCTTTGGAAACCAATAAGATCTCATGCTTCGGTTGTTTCTATCTCGATGGTTTGTTTCACTTCCAGTCTCCAGTTTCGGCGATCTGATCGTTATTGTCACTACATAAATGCCACGCATAGTCGACAAAGCGTCACTACTCGACGTATATCGTTCTAATCAAAATAACACTAAGAAATTGTGACCTAACAGCCTTTGAGCACACAGAAGTGCACACAAAGTGCGCGCACATACCAGGAACCAAATTATTGCTTTTGTGTTTCTGCGACAAGCAAAGAAAAATTATAGAGACAGTGTTCTATTTTTGTGGTGTGCGTCCGCAGCAAGAGTTTATTGCATTCTCTTTTTATTTTAAATAATAGTGTATGCCCAAAGACATTTAGGTCGCTCTATAAATATTCTGAAATACGTATCTTATGCAACACAAAATTTACAACAAGGGTATCCGAAGCGTCTTATAGGGAAGGTATGTTTGCAAGCAAGGAAGAATGCTTGGTCTCAAATTTTTGCACTAGCAATATTTTTGACGAGCGCTATCGCCACTTTTTTTTCTTTTACTAAATGGCACTAGAATACCCTTGAGCCAACTTCATAGTAAAAAGTTAAGAAACTGCCTGTTTGCAAACATACCCCTCTGTTCCATAAACAATATACTCTGTCAGTTAAGCTGCACAGGCTCCATAGAGACTTCCAATCGCGTCTCTTACAATAGACGTTCGTAACACACATGGCAAATCACCATACAATTTTCATATCTTATAATTCTTTTACCAAAACTCTTAACACTAAAACAAGTATAATTATTATGTGCAATTACTCTCGATATTAATGAATTTAATTAATGATAACAGTTGTCTCCGTGTGTCGTCTCAAAAGGCGTTGAATTACGTGTAACCGCTATTAATTGTACAAAAACTATGTTTGTAATATGTCGTAAGCTAATTTGCTACAACTATAAACCTTATGATAATTTTTTTACAATTTTTTTCTAAGTCGTGCTTAGCCCTTTGCTGTTTGTCCTTATGATGTTTTTTATGAGTATGAAAATGATACCGCAAAGCAGGACTGCTCTCTCGCATTAAACGGTAGGGAGAACTAGCGCAATCATTGGCACAGCAGACATAAGATTGTATGTTTCAACCAGAGAAACACTTCTTCAGTATTATATTCTTTTTTAACCTGATAAAAAGAAAAATTACAGCGGAGGACTGTATGTACAGAGAAACCCTAGAAAGTTCCACAGCGCGCGATTCAACAACGAATATAGCACTTTCAAAAGTAACGGTTTTGGGAAACTGACTAAAAAAACGTACGAATAAACTTATATCGTTTTTAACATCCAAAAAGAATTTTGTCATGGCCACGTACGTTATTTTTTAGTATTTTTTTTAATTTCCTCAGTTTACTTTTAAAGGTGCGATGTGAAACTTGAAATCAGGACTACGAATAGCTATTCTGAGATCGACAACTAATTTTAAAAATCGATTTATTTTCTCAAGTCATTCCCTTACAAAAAATTTGATGCAACAAAAGATACTTTTGGAGATAAAAGTAACAGTTGAATCTCGTAGCTTATATTAGTTTTACAATATACATGGCATATTATATCACATGCAGTGATAACCGTCGTATAGGATCCATTACAAACCTGTAATGCTTCTAAATATATGTGGCTGATGGACCTTTTGACTCAAGGAACTCTTCTCCTAACCTTATTCGTTTTCTAAACTACTTTTGTTTTGGTATATTTCGCGCTATATGTATACTATATATATGTATAAATCGAGTCACCTTATATATTAAGTTTTCCCCGGTTTTAGAAATTCAAATCTTCGACAAGGACAAACTGAAATGGCATTTCGTCGCATTAATTTCTCAAACTCATATCTTAAAGCACAAAGTTATTGAAATGCAAAAAATGGATTGTATATACAAATTTTGCAGGCTGACTTTACATCACATTTTCTTCATATTCACACACTGGCTTTTGCCTATTCTTAAACTAATGCATCCAAAGTAACTCCCTTGATAAGAAAGTTAAAATAAATAGAAAGTTTTACCATCTCCTGAATAATCACTCTTTATAAAATACGAGTTTGAGAAAGTAAGGCATCGATTTAATATATCAGCTTCCAAATTGCAATAATAGTTTTTAGGATACTTAATACTAAAAATACAGGGTGGCTCGAATTAAGTGTCCGAGAGTATATAGTTTTGTTATAAAAATGACAACTATGCAAGGCGATGTACATCCTTGGTATAACACAATTTTAAAGAATTAACATGACTCGCTCGTTGTTAGTACCAAAAATAATCGCTTTTAGTTTCTATGGCTGTTATTCAGGGTGTACACATAATTATTTTGACATGAAAGTTTACAAAAAAATCGATATAACATTTGTATCGACATAGGAAATGAAACTATTTTCGGATTTAAATCGCGTACATTTGTTTTTTATTTAGATCCGAAAAAATAGTTTCATTTCCAAATATGTAACAATCGCGAAAATTGAAGAACTCGATTTGTATCGACATTCTATGAACTTTGTGTAGTAGTGACGTGACAGTTCTTTCTCAAGTCCAAAGTCTTTAGGCTGCCTTTCCACCAGGGATGTGCGACGTAGCGAAGCAGTGTGCGAGGAGTAAATCCACCAGTAGGATTACTTCACCTTCCTAGTCTCACAAAATAGCGATGCTAAGTATTTGTACATACAAAATAGCGATAAATGTGTGCGAGAGATATGTGCGAGGAATGTGTGCAAAACGGTGTAAGGAACTAGACAACTGAAAGTATGACACTAACTGACACTGACATATCGCCACCGCTCACCCCACCACACCGTACCCTGCCCGCACATAGCTGAAAAGAGTTCGTAACGCATCCTCGCAGTTTTGGTGGAAAACATCACACCGTTTCACAGCGCCGATACAATTCCTCGCACCGCCTCGCTACCTCGCACATCACTGGTGGAAAGGCAGCCTTATTCCCAGCTGAAATTATTCGAGGTAATGGATGATTTACAACCAAAAATGATAAATTGTCGAAGTTCATTCATAAACAAAAGCCTCATTGATCCATCTAGCCACACAGCCTGTGAAATAATCACGTGTCAACTAAATAAGCCTGCCCATTGTTTATTAAATTCTTACAAGCCAGGTTATATAATACTAAACAACATTCGAAACATATTTATAACTTAGTTGGCCTTATAGACTTATTAGCATTGTTCGAAGAGCTGGATCTAAACCGAAATAAGAGTTAGTAGTAGTAGTTAGAACCTTATTCGAGCTTCACCTTACTCGAAGTTTTAAAATTTCACCAATTATCTCGTCGCAACAACCACGGATTAATATACTTCATTCATAAACATATACCTATATATAATTCATAAAATACAAGTCCGTGCAAAATAGTAGATTTTGTCGGGCAGGCGACGCTAGGATAAGGCGCGCGAAATGTTAAAAAGAGAACGTTTGCAATTTCAAGGGGTCACTGTACTTATGAATACTCAAAAAAATTCTTCAAAAAACCCAATAAGTCACTTCCACAAGTTATTTTTATTCTTCCCACACAAAACACCACTCAATCGGAAAAATATATGAAAAAAAACGGATAAAGTAAATTGTTCAATGACCCCACGTTGATTCAGAGGTATGAACATTGTTTATGATATTCATATAACAAATATTGAAACGAGTACTACTACAACTGACACAATATCTATTTTTGATTGTACCGCTAACGGTTTTGGAAATTCAGTAACTTTGGAAATACGTTTTTCGTCTTCAAATTTACACAAATAATATAATAATAAATATAAGACAACATCACATACGTTGCTCTGATTCCAAAGTAAGTTACTAAAGAACTTGTGTTATGGAAATTGGAAACGACGCGCGACGGTACCACCACAAACACCCAGACCCGAGACAATATAGAAAAGTTAGTTTTTCTATACTGACCCGGAAGGGGATAGAACGCAGAACCCCAGATGGCGCCACCATAAAAACCGGTGTGCAAGCCACTCAACTACGAAGGCGTCAAATAAAAGAAAATTATAATCTATTCTGAAATAAAGAGTTTTCCACTTAGTAATTATGTAAGATAGCAATCAAACAATTTAGCTTATATCCTTTTGAATCCAAATCCAACTATGAGTACAATACAAATAAGTCTTTACTACGCTAAAAGGCGCACTTATGTCCTACTCATACCACACGAGAAAAATCCAACATAAATAACTTAATGATAAGGTAAAAACAGCATATTTACATTAGTCACCTGTTAATATGAAGTACGTAGAGTCACTGATATATATACAACGTCGTAATATTACAAAAAAAAACCATTTCCAAATCCATATTCTAGCATTAGCCTGTCGTAAAAAAGAATGAAGCGGTGACTGCTTAAGGCAGTTGTCGCTGATTAACCACGGAAATAAAAATAGTTTTTTCGTAAAAATATTAATCAAACTATCTTACGACGACATATACAATAGAGCAATCTCATTGAAAAAGTATAGTTGTTTGAAAATGTTAATTTGCAATGTAGAAACTTTGTTGAGTTCTTGGGTTGTATAGCCGTGCGAATATAGTACATAATTTAGTATCGCTAAGGTTTTATTTACCGTATTCCATGACAATGATAAACATATTCTGTACAACGAGATGTAGGCGTAGAAATTATTATTCTTACCACACTTTATGCGGAAAAACAAGACTTAATATTTAAGGTCGCAATTCGAAATACCAATTTCGAGTTAAAGCATAAAAAAACCATTTTATCATTCACACGTTTTCATGCAATAAACAACCTTATTGAAACCAACACAGCAATTTACAAAGCTTAAATATTTTATTGTTGTCTCTTACTTTACATGTTGACTTTAACAAATAAATATACTCGTTAGTCGAACGTCTTAAGCGGGATATTGACTGTCCAACTTGTTGGTCAACAGAAAGAGACAGTTGTACAAAAGTATGGAGGTGTAATTGTTTTTATACACCGTTGTCGTTAGCTAAGTCCTTTTGTCGGTCAACATGTAAGACAGTAAATATCTAGCTTTAGCTATGCATAACACTAATAATAAACGTACATCTTAACACATTTTGTGACATAACACATTCTTCACATAACCTTAGCTATATACAGGGGATGTTATTAAGTAAGAAACATTATCTCATTTTTGTTTGCAGAATATAGGAAATATAGCATTTGGCGTTACTCACGCTTGTCAAATGCAATCTTACAAACAAACAAAAACATTTCCATAACAGCCTGTATATAAAGTCAAATACACAATTCATTAACATTGTAGCATTTTATTTAACTGCAAAATTCGATTGGATAAAAACAAATCTGGTAATCTAACAAAGAAAATAATTTTCAGTTACATTTATTAAATTTAATTTATTTTACAAAGTCTTGAAAAGCTGTGAGATTCCACTTGTAACTGTAACTACGCGTTGTAATTTTTATTATTATTATCCGGGGATATAAACGTTTGTCGTGTCAGACTATTTGGATTTTTTATTTTATTCAAGGACATTAAAATTTACTTTTACTATTATGCTGGCTGATATGGGATACTGATTAATTAACATAACGAATCAGTCAATGCAATTCTTTACTTGACTTTGTATCAGACAACAAATTGTATAGTCATTGTAGATCTATATTGATAGATTTGATACCATTTTTCAGTTCCATTAGCCTTTCCAAGAACACTGTCACGACAATGCTAATGCCTATTAAGTTAAGAACTGGTCTTAGTCAAATAGATATTTGTATAATATATTGTAGCAAAAGCTAGTTATGCTGTTGTTATAAACTTATGGCCTCGGCCTACGTCCATGCTAATGTTTTGTATCACTTGTTGAATGCTATAATAGTCTACGCCAGTGACTGAGGAGAACCTGTAATGATTTTATTTTTAATTAATTACCATCAAGTTATTGCATTATTAAGTCTTCAACCGTTTATTTCAAATTTCCATTTGCAGAAACAACATTTAACTTTAGAATTTGAAACTCATAACTGTCTATTTTCGTAACAAATTAATGATTTAGAATTAATTTCACCATTCATCGCTTTTATCTCTTTTGGCTGAACTGCTTAGACATGGCCGCACGGCCAAGAGGCAGCACACATTAAAAAAGAATGGAAGTAAAGGGGTAGTTGATCGATACCTGCGTGGTTTCTCAGTCGAGATTGTCCTGGAAGATGAGGCGTACATAGCCGGGTGAGCCCTGCAGCGGCGAGGCGCAGAACGGGCAGATTGCGTGGAAGCCGTTCGTGCCGTGGGGGATGTCCACCATCGCCCAGTATCTTATACGAGATCATAATTATTATACACGTAAAGTTACAAATCACGACTGATTGCGAAAAATATAGGCCTCAGGGAATAACGTTGTTCCACAGTGACCACATAACCAATTAGTAGCAAATGCTATTGTACGATATCGACTGTGAACTGGCAATCACTACTATCTCAATTTTGACAACTTCACAGGTAAAGAAAATAATTGTTTGCGTCATTTATTTAATAAACCTGATGCTATATAAATTATTGTTTCTTCAACCTGTAAAGTTGTCAATATTGAGTTAGTACCGGTTCCCAGTTCACAGTCGATATGTCAAGATCAGATCTATTTCACAGTTTTTTTCCGATACCTTCAGGGATATATCAAAACTCAAATTAAGAAAGTAGGGTGCCTATAGATTCAGTAAGATTTAAATACTAACTTGACAGTTCGTTCCGAAGCCATGTGTCCGCAAGGGTTAAAAGCATACGTGGGCGGGCCGGAGTCGACGTAGAAAGCTGGCTCGATACCCATGCAGACGCGTACGACGGGACCGGCAGTGAGGCACATGGGGCAGCGCCGAAGGCCTGTGTCGCTGCCGTCCGCGCCCCACGAATGCTCGCCTGTTTGAAAAATAACATAATTAATGAACGTTTGAATAACATAAAAAATGGACGTTGCAATAACATATAAATTATTCGAGATTGGAATAACATACAATTGGATGTTTAAATAAAAATTGACGTTTCTATAACATAAAAAATGGACCCTGGAATATCATAAAATTATTCGACATTGGAATTACAATACAATTGTAATGATGTTTGAATGAAATAAAAATTAGACGTTTGATAAACATAAATAATGGACGTTGAAATAACATAAAATTGGACGTTTGAATAAAATAAAATGGACGTTTGAAATACATAAATAATGGACGTTAGAGTAACATAAATAATTGACGAAACCGGAAAGTGTAAACGTCTCCGCACTTACCTTGCACATGTCCGCAGTTGAGATATACGTAAGGCTGGTTCAAATCTTGATGCGCCGTGGACACTTTGCGCGGGATGACCAGTGTATTGAGCCCCACGGGACACTGCGGCCGACCGGCGTTCAGTTCGTCCACTAACGCTTCCAGATCGCGTTTGGTCTGCCAGTCACAAAGACGTAAAATTATAATTATATGTAGCTATTATTTTTTTCAACTTAATCTCTTATATTGACGGAATAATCGTCTAGAGACACTATGTTATCTTATGTGTATGTATGTAGTGTATGTATTATATAATGAAGACGAACTAAACACCCATGCAATCTTGATTGATTGCCTGTAGCCCTTTCGACTCATCCTCCACATAATGCAACAAGAATTATGTACGGTAAGAATGTGCTAGACAACCCAACCCAAACCAATTATTTCGTCTAAAAATAGGGAATTTTGTGTATATGAGTACCAACGCAACGTAATACATTCCTTGGTACTACCCAGAATATCCGAAGCAGAAATAGTTCACAAAATTTCATTTCCTAAAGTGTCCCTCCTCGACCTCGACGTGGCGACCTCCTCACCCAGCGCCCACAGTACAAACCGATGGTCCACCGAGATCACCGATACCATAAGTATGTGTGAATAAATAAATAACTTACTGGTGAATTTTTAAGACCTTCAGCGCTTCTCCATAATAACGTGGCTCCGCATAAATCTATCATTGTGCCATCTCGTAATACATTAGTTTCCGCTTGGCAAGGCAGTCCCTGAAAACAAAATAATTGAATTAATTAAGTAGCCACGGTTAGGCAACAAACACTTGTTCGAGACCACTCGGATCAAAGGAATTTTCCCTTGTTGTTTGTTCGATAATATGTATGAATAATAATAACAAACTAGTGGAGTATTTTCACAAAAAGTATACGCATACCATGGTAGTAAAAAACATCATAATATTCAATAAAAAGAAATAGTATGATTGAATTAATTTTAAGTTCGCGCTGTTAGAGTGTGTATATTATGTCGCTGTGGTCAGCCTCTTATCTTCTCCTTTCCCTACTCGTTTCCTGCCTATAGCAAGCTCTATGTAACACGGGGCGAAATATTGGTTTTATTTTCTTTTGTAAAAATATTTGTGTATTGCAAAAAAACGACTATTACATTAGGAGTCCGCCGTGTGAGTGACTCGATACATTTCAAAATTCAAAAATCGTTACAAAAAAACGTTAAACGACCGCGCCGCTCATTCTTTGATGTAGTGAATACTTTCCGGTAGATGTATCACCGTGTACGCGTTAATAGCTCTAATAATAAATATAGTGTAAAATTAACTCCAAAACAATAACTTGGTTTAGTTACGTACAGGACAATAACCCCGAATTAATTGTTGTACTGTATGTAATTAAACCAAGTTATTGCTTTAAAGTTAATATTACTTTATTATTGTTACTGATAAGACATTCTCGGTCTAGTTCTACTTCTGTTTTACAATAATGCTAAAATTTCGAACTTTGACATAATCAAGTTTACCTTCTGTTGCGCTGAACGGCTTTCTCTGAGCGAAAATACCGCCCCTCCGACGGATGTCTCACGCCAAGGCCCGCAGGTGGCACTGCCGCCGCAAAAGTCGCCCCGAGGGTGCATGATCAGGACGCCGTTCGTCGTTAGCCCGTCGATTTCGTGGTTCTCGGTCCATTTCGTAGCTTTTTCCTGTAAACCCAAACCCAAGTTTTCAAAGACTTGCCCCTCAGCTAATATTGGACCAGCATTTCGACTCATCCGTACAACAACGATCTATGTGTAAGACTACTAGTTCTCAGGACATAGTACATTTCGTTCTTTCTTCTTCGCAGACGTCAGATCGATCGTTGTTCGATTTTATATTTCCGAAACGAAATAAGATATATAAATTCTCAAAGCTTCTTTACACAGGCTTTAGTTTGAATAACGAAATTATTCTCGTAACGTTACTTTTACTCTTTTTGCTATATAATCACAACGGAGTCTGTTCTTCGGATAAGTCGATTTTAGTATCACGTGATTCATCAAAAAAGAAGACCCAAGGCTCTTACACAGATTGTTATCAAACCAGTCTGCGCCCAGGCGCAGGTTTCCCTACTTTTCCCTATACTGCAAGTGATAACTTGTGGCTAGTATTGGTAAAAAGCGCGTATCTGCACCAAACCAAATTTCACAGTTTAAGGATTTAACGTTATTACTTTGTTATTTCAATGGCTACGACTTTCATTTTTGCACAGTAAGCATTAATTTATGTTGTCTGCGAACTGATAACAATAGATTCCCGTAAATCATGCTAATTTGGTTGCCACGACATTTACACGGATTTCATTTGGCGACTAAATTGCCGAAATGGAGACTGCATTATCCCCGACGATTTGAATTTAAGAAATGTTCACAATGGCTGTTTGACAAGCCATTCCAGGATACAGGTTTCTTTTAGAGTGTGCCTTATGATGAGCACAACTATTCATTCATTCGCTCGGCTTGAAACTTCTTTTGGCGATGAAGCACCATGCAAGACGACTATTTATAGCTGTTTGCAGAATTCAAACGCGGTCGTGTGAATCTCAGAGACGAATTTCGTGTTGGTCGCCCGTACACTGCCGTGAACAACGAAAGCCATCGACGCTGTGCGCCGTATGATCAAAACAGACAGGCATGTGACATACCATGAGATTTGGGCATCTTTGGGCATAGGCATGAGTCAAATACAATCAATACTATATAAACATTTGGGTGTGAAAAAGCTGTGCTCTCGGTGAATCCCACACAATTTATTTGAATGAGGCTCAAAAAACGGATCGTGTTACTTGGTGCAATGCCATGCTTACCAGATTCAACGAAGGGGCGTCAAATATGGTGTGGGACATAGTAACAGGTGACAAAACATGGATTTATAGTTACGATCCCAAAACAAAGCAGCAATCGAGCTTATGGGTCTTTCGAGATGAGCCGAAACAACAAAAGTGGCGCGCGTGCAAAGTGCCTCTAAGCGGATGATTGCTTCTTTTTTTAATAAAACTGGGCACGTGGCTACTGTTGCTTTGGAGAATCGTTGTACTGTGAATAGTGATTGGTACAAGACTATTTGTTTGCCGGAAGTTATTGACAAACTCCGTAAAAATAACCGTAAACGCCGTATAATCTTGTACCATGATAAAGCCAGTTCTCACACGGCCAGACAGACAAATGAATGTTTGACCTTATGAGCCATCCCGCGTATAGTCCCGACCTGGCACCTTGTGACTTGTGACCGTTATTCATTGTATCTTCTATGGTTTCAGATTTCCCCATACTGTACCATTTAAAAAACACTGTAGCTGACACACTACGCTCTTCCTTTATAACATATATATATAATTATATATTAGTTATGTATATAATATATATAACATATTAACTAAAGTAATTTTGATTTTGATATGAATTTGATGAGGCGAAAGCCCTTGCTGGAGATTGAGCAGGAATTACTACATAAGCGTTCTCGACTCTAGGACCGTCAGGGCTAACGGGCAGTAAAGACAGTGACAGAGAAAAAAATACTCACACCAAGAAATATGTTTCTAGAGGAGTCAAAGCCGGCGGCATAAATGCGGCAATTGTTGACATCATTGCGGTCGGCTATGATGCGACAGGCGAACCGCGATATCGTGCTTTGTAGCACTTTAGTATCACCGGTCTTGTCGCCCGCTACCGTGTCCATTACCACGAAGTCGATAGGAGACTCTGACGATCTACCGATCTGGAACAAGAAAGAGTTATTCGTTAGTTTATTGCAATCTGTGGTGTACAGAAAATACAGGGATGGTGCAATCGATCTAGATTTAGATCCAAAAAAATAGTTACGATTCTAATGGATACCAATTGCTAAAACCTAACAACTAGAAATATCTACCTGGAAGGTAAAAGTGCTAAGTATGGGTCAAGAGCAGGTCAAGCTTGATACTTAAGATTTAAACCAACTCTATGCCGCTTACGATAAGAACTGTCCAAAGTACAAAGTGTCAAGCTTGACGTGCTCTTGACTGTACAAGTTTCAATCAAAAAACGTTAATGTAATTTATGTATATGTGGATAATCCTTTTTTTAATGTCCTCAACGTTGACAATAGATACGTGAACAATTTTGAATACCAAATTACATAACAAAAATTAACTAACATATTTTTAAACATTCGTAGCTATGCGGATCATAATACCTCGGCAACCTTGCTCTATCTGGGTTTCCCGAACACTTGGCACGCATTATCAGTAAACAACGTATATCCACATAATTTCTGAACAGGTAAACATTTATAACATTTTTTTTAGAATATCGTCAACGTTACTGCGCACATTATAATTTAAATCTCATACAAAATAAAGATAACGAGATATATGTGCACGTAGGTACAAGTAGGGAATTCCATTCACAATAAGCGTTGTTAATAAAATGATAAGAAAAAATATTACGCAAGAATTACTTTACGCGTCTTTTACATTTTACATACACTTCACGCCCTTTTGACGATCCCGGTGGTCCAACTGTTTGCACTGTGGGCGCTGGATAAGGAGATCCCGGGTTCGATTTCAGATTTCTAATTTATTAATACAAAAATCGAACAGTAAGACAAATTCCTTCGATCCGCCTAGATTCAAACCAGCGTCTTCAGCATACCATGTCTGACGCTCTCACAACTGAGCTACGAAACGATCTAGCAGGCCTTACGGATTTTTTTATGTACTTGTTGCAGATCTTTGTTTTTTGTTTTTAACGACTTCTTTGCAGTACCTATGAAAGTTTTTCTTCACTCACTCAGGTAAATTTACTAAATAAATTTTGATATGGATGTTCTGGATAGTGTTCTGAAGCTAAATTCATTGCACTGATACTCACTCTAACACTCAGGATATTCCCTAATCGTGTAGCACATCATTATCCGATATATTACAGCTTGGCGTAATTTCTTTACATTATTTCCTTCGTTGTTTAATTTAGACAAATCCTTCTTTTGTGGAGATGATTAAGGCTATACGAGTAGTAGACTATTAAGGATGTGGAGAAGTAGATGAGAAGATGTAGTCGAGATGTTGTAGTATCCGTGGTTTAATTTTCAGTTAAAATTACAAAGGGGCGATCTCTGGCGGCCGATAGAAGCAGCAGTAAGTGTGAAGGCTGCGTTACATCACCGTTCCGCGCTGCGCGTGCACCGCTCTAGTTGCCAATGGCGGGGACATAGCTCGTGGATTTGTATTCGACTTTTCTCTAAATAATTTAAGATTATATTTTAAATTTATTGATATTGGAATGTCTAACGTTGGACGTGGTATTAGACGTGGAATATATGTATGTTACTAATTGCGAGTGTGGGTTGTCTAAGACACGTGAAGGGCAAAATTTGGTGTGACACCTAACAGCATACTTTAGTTATTATTATTGCTTATGAAATTAAATTGAAACCATGCTTTCATCTCTAAGCAACGTCCCGTAAATCAATTCCGTAATTAATAGTAAGTTGAGTGGTTAGTAGTTCAGTAGGAGGACCATTGCTTCTCAATTGAAAGGTCGAGGTCGACGGCTCCAATACCTGTGACAGCATGTATATACGTCTTTCATTTCTAAGTTACGCACATTTATGAATGTTTAGTAGCAATAAAAAACGTGGTGGCTTAGTAGTTTGACCTACTGTCTCTAAAGCAGAGGGCGTGAGTTCGAATCCGGGCTTGCACCTCGAGTTTTTCGGAATTTATGTGCGAAATTTAATTTGAGATTTACCATGGGCTTTTCTGTGTAGGAAAACATGGTAGGAAATCCTTTTAAAGTGGTAATAGAGTTCCTTGTGAAAGAATTCATCCAGGGAAGTACTGCCACCTTACCTATTTCTGCCACCAAACAATAATGTGAACAATACTGCGTTTCGGTTTTGAAGAGTAAGGGTGCTAGTGAAATTACAGGCACATGATACTCGTCAACTTATGTCTCAAACTGACGGGCACAGTGGCAATGCCCCTCTAATCAACAATGATTCAACAAACAAACAAATCACAAGATTTAAAGCTCTAGGTGGCCATGAAACTGTTATGGACAGACGTGTCGCTTACCACCTGGCGCACGACTTGTTCGTCTCGTCACTTTTATCATCACGCTTCAATGCAATTTAATGATGTTTGTGAAGTTCCCAACCCGTAATGGGCCCGCGCGGGAACTTCACCCCTCAACTACACTACTACAAGCCCTCCCATCGTGAGGAGGCTTGTGACCAGCAAGCATTTTTAGCAGCAACACCACTCGCGAACGGTGAAGTGTGAAGTACTGACCCGCAATGGCCGAACCACGGCATTAATGCTCAGGTCACACAGGGCTGACTGTAATGTACGAGTTTATGTATGACTCTCGTGTGGCCTGAGCATAAGAATCTTCGAGGTGATCCGTGCCAATCAGCAGTGGGATGTATAATGGTTAATGATGAATGATTACTCAGGTTTAATCATAAAAGAGCTAAAGCTAACCTTGGTGCAGTGAATGTGACAACATGACCGGTATATCTAGGTGGGCGACGTGTAATGTCACGCACATATGGCTATACTAACCGCTTCTTTTAACTACACGTTAACGAAAAATCGTGCAACAGACAGACTGTGAAATTAGCATTCTATTCATAGCTTGTTAGTTTTAGAATTACAAGATATATTTCTGTTTGAGGGCGCGTTCCCACTATGTCGTGACGACAGATTGTCGTGCAGTTTACAGGGTCGTATTCTAGAACTCTACTCAATGCTCAAGTCAGGATTTGAGTATGGTTTAAAGCATTTGATATCATACTCAAGTCCCCTGCCATTGGGGTCGTATTTCCAGTGCTTATGTTTCCAGTGCAATCCTGACTTGAGCATTGAGTAGAGTTCTAGAATACGACTTAGTATTATATTTAAATGAAGTTGTTCACATATAGCACGACACGATTAACTGTCGTTCACGATTTTTTATCGTTACAACGACAAACTATCGTCACAGTGGGAACAGCTAGAACGACAGTCGTCAGACGATAAAAAAAACCTCACTATAAAAACGTGACGACATTTGTCGCAGCTCCTATTGTCGTCACGTTTTAGTTATCGCTGTCCGCACGTATTCTGCTCCCTGCCCTCCCCTCTCTCGTACCCCGCGCCCTCTGCTCGCATTGCAGTAGCGTTGGGTCGTAGCCAGAGATGGGCAAGGAGGCTGTCGTGAAACGATAAATTGTCGTCACGAGCTAGTGGGAACAGCTAGTCACGACAGTCGTTCAACGATAAAAAAAATCGTCCACGACAGGTAGTCGTGATATGGGAACAGGTTAGACACGACAGTTGTCCAACGATAATAAAACGTGACGACATAGTGGGAACGCGCCCTTATACAAATTCCACATATACTGTACTAGCTGGTACCCGCGACATCGTCGTCTTCGTGACATAAGTACTTCGAGTAGCCTACTGTACTAATTTAATGTTTTATTGGTTCTCAATACAAAATTTCATCCCCTATTTTACCCCCTTTAAAATTTATTTTTATAACAAAAAGTAGCCTAGTTCCTTTTCCTAGGTACTATCATCTCTGTATCAAATTTCATCGGACCTGTAAAGCGCCCGAAACGTCGGTTTCTTTGAAAAAACAAATATACGCGATTAAAATCCGGAAAAATAGTTTCATTCCCTACATCTGTTTGCTAACTTTTATAGAAACCGGATTTATCCCCTAGTTTGCCACCCTTAGAGGTTATATTTTATTTTTATTTTTTATTATAATAAAATATATTATTATATTTTTAGGAGGTAATACTTTTTTCAAATTTAAATGAGACCAATGCTGAGGTACTCTCAGGAACTCTTTCCAATCTTCAAAATCGGTTCACTAATTTAGTTTTAGTAGTTCGTAATTTAGAGTTATCGCGTAACTTACAGTTGAATTGAGAACCTCCTCTTTTTTTGAAGTTGGTTAAATAAAAAGAATGAATTGCTTAAAGTTTTATTGTTTCAATATCAAGCTCGCATAACATGAAATTAAGGGTCGTATTCCAGAACTCTACTCAATACTCAAGTCAGGACTTGAGTATTGCAGTGAGCACTGAAAGTCATACTCAAGTCTTGCCATTAAGGTCGTATTTCCAGTGCTTGAAATCATACTCAAGCCTGCTCAAGTCCTGACTTGAGCATTGAGTAGAGTTCTGGAATACGACCTTATGATAGCTAGGATAAATGTCGTCTACAACAGTAGAGGTTTTAAGACATTGCAGGCACATGAGGTTAGTCAATTTATGTCTCAGGGTGACGGGCGCGGTGGCAGAGTCACACATAATTTCACATAAAAATAATGGAATATAAATTCAATAAAAAGAAAAATTAAATAGAGTGTATTTTTCATCTCATAATTTTCATTTTTGTTTGACGATTCAATATAATTTCTTATACTTTGACGTGTAGTGCAATTTGTATTGCAATATGTATACTGTAATATTATATTTGAGAAATAAATGAATCTGAATCTATCAAGTACTGCTATTAAGCATTTGTTTTGATTAATTCGCAAAACGCAATCTACGGTAATCGTTTAACGTTTATGACGTACTTATTACGATTGAGTAAAGTAGGTTTTAAGAACGCAATTGTTTACAATTTACGTTGTGCTCGCATATTTGATCATATTATTATTTCTTGTATTATCGTACATGTACTGAAGTACAGTAGAAATATGTAATGAAGGAGAAAAGTTTTAAACTTGTCATTAAGA